TCGATCGCACTTGATATCGCGGTCGACCGGACAGAAACCCAAAAATGCATCCTGTATTGTGCACATTAACGGTCGACCGCAGCTGATGTCGCGGTCGACCGGCAAGCTTCCAAACAGTTTTCTGCGTGCAATTTCTTGAACTATTTTACCGTTTCTTCAACCTAGGATGACAGAGAATGTTAGAAGTGGCAGTGTTTATCCTTTCTCCTTTTTTTTTCATTTCTAGTTATCGTTGTCAGAGAGATTTACTCCAAAGAAGAGAGCAATGTCAAGCGAAGTTTATGTTATTTGGTTCTACCTAAAATTATCTCTAGTAAATTGGGAATCTGTCTATTACCCTTGCGTGCATAAGAAATACATCCCTTAAATCATGTTACTTGGCATTTGAATGAACAACCAAGTCATTGTGAACACGTGAAGTTAGTGGGGACCACGAAATTTGATCAGTGGCTTGCCCAGCGCGTGGAGAAGTAAAACCCAGCGAACAAAAGGCCGGCCCACCCGATTTCGGTTTTTTAGAGACCTATAAATGTGCCTAGGGTTTTGTGAAGTTTTTTTTTAAGTGTGCAAGTGCTTTTGTGCGGCTGCAGAAGAGGGCTTGTGCAATTGAGGGGTGTCTTGGAGGCGTGTGTAAGGTGAGTGCAGGAGATTTGTTCGGCTGGGTGCTTTTTGAAGCTGCGGGAAAAATCATAGCAGGAGAAAATTTTATTTGTGGCAGTCGTCTTATTTTCTTCTGTTTTTGGTTTTGAGCAGCCCCTTTATTGAGGGTTTTGTGCATCCCCTTTTGAGAGAGATAATTGTATGAGGGATCTGAGAGTTTGTGTGAGGGTTTAGATTGTGAGATTGTAAACCCCAGTTGTATCTCTCCCTCTAATAGTAGATCTCCCCCCTCCTTGCCCCGTGGACGTAGGCGATTTGCCGAACCACGTAAAATTTGTGTTCTTGTCGTGATTTGTAATAGCTTGTAGGATCCCTCGACAGGTCAGTCCTAGAACTGATGAGAGGAAGAGCCGATATCTCACTTGGTTGAGATATCCGCTTCAGATTCTTGTTTCCTTGGTGAGACGGGAATTCTTATCGATCTAATCTCTCTTGTTGTGCTGCCGAAGTGCTGTCGAAATTTTCGCTGCGCACAACAAGTGGTATCAGAGCTCCGGGTTGGACTTGGGAGCTTGTTTGAAGGATTCGCTGAAGGATTCTTATTTGAAGATTAGATCGACAATATGGGTGAAACAAGCACATCGGGATCGTCTCTTACGAAGACGATACATAGTTTGAGCATCAATAACATGAAGATTGATGTTCCGAAGTTCGACGGCAAGATTAATTTCGGATTGTGGAGGTGTCAGGTGATGGACGCCTTGGACGCTCAGAATTTGGAGGAGACTCTTGAGTTACAAGAGAAACCTGCCGAGATGGAAGCTAAGGTTTGGAAGAAGATGAATAGTAGGGCGTGTGGAGTTATTCGGTCATGCTTGACGCCGGATCTTATTTATGACGTGATGAACGAGACGTCGGCGAAGAAGATGTGGGAAACACTCAATGAAAAGTATCTGACGAAGAGCATTGAGAATCGGCTTCACTTGAAGAAGAGGTTTTACCAGTTCAAGATGAAGAGGGGAGTTTCCATTAGGGAGCATGTTAATAACTTCACAAAGCTACTTTCAGACATGGCTAATGTGGATATCATGGTTGAGGATGAAGACAAGGCGATGCTACTTTTGTGTTCGTTGCCAGATGATGATTTTGGTACGTTTGTCCTAACTATAATTAATAGAAGAACTACTGTTAGTTATAAGGAGGTGACCTCAGCGTTGGTGAATTATGAGTTGAGGAAGAGTGTTGATGAGTCCTCCGAAAAGGCATCGGGAGATGCATTAGTAGTTCATGGCCGTGGTTCAAACCGAAGCAGGAGGTCGCAGTCTAGAGGTGCACATCGTGGGATTCGTAGGAATCAGTGTGCCTTTTGTAAAGAGGATGGACATTGGAAAGCTGAATGCCCAAAGTTAGATCGAGCCGAGAAGAATAAGGGGAAAGCTGTACAAGCTTCAGAGGTGAATGTTGTCAAGACTAGTGGCAACAATTCAGATTCGGATTCTTCGGGCTATTCGTTGTCTGCACTACCGTCAGTTTGTGTTGCCAACTCTACAGAGTGGATGTTGGATTCGGGTGCTTCATACCACGTTTGCCCTAGGAGGGATTGGTTCTCCAGCTTTCAGAAGTTGGAAAGAGAGGATGTTGTGCTCATGGGTAATGGACATGCATGCTCTATTGGTGGTATTGGTACCGTTCGGATTAAGATGAGTGACGGGATGGTACGGGAGTTGGAAGAAGTGAGGTTCGTTCCGCAGTTGTCGAAGAACATCACTAGACTGTGGCGTTGTTTGATGCTGGGTTATTTGATTGGTAATGCCGTGCATAGGTTATTGAGGAGTGCTTTGACCTGCAGTTTGAAGTCCTGTGAACCCATTGGTATGAGCGAGAAGACCGAGGTGGAGTTTGGCCCTTCTATCCATCATTCGAGGGGTCTTCTGAGGGGTGTTCATTCAGGCATTCGGGAGCCTTCCAAGGGAGCATTATTGTGAGGTAATAGGTATGTGGTTTCCGCAGTTGGGGATTGTTCTAGGCATTGGTGGGTTGCAACCAAGTCCCGTTGGTGTGAAGTCCTAGAAGCCCGTAACAAATGGAGGAAGTGTATTGGCAGAAAGGTGAAGGTACTTCAGTCTGATGTTAGAGGAATGTACAAGAGGGACCTATATCTGCATTTGTGCCGAGCTCACGGTAATAGGAGACACTTCATTGGTGTGGAAACTTTGAGGCGGCACGATGAGATGACAGATTTGGGGAGCTGTTCCTTTCTGGAGGAAGATCGGCGTTTGATGTCTAGCATTGGCATTGGTGTGCGGGCTACGACATGTTTGGGCCATCTCATGTATAGGTTGCCGACTGCTGCATGTAGAGATTTTGGATCTGGTGGAGCTGCTTCAGCTTTTAGGTTGCATCGGATGTTTAGCTACCCAGCACTTGGTCACATCGTGGATGTGAGATTTGATCCGATAGCACATTTGGGATTCAGAGGCGTGTTTGATTATCAGGTATTGGCTTCTGATTTTGTTCTGAGCAGGTATGTCACGTTTAACTCTCGGCAGGTGGAGAGTGGTGATCAGATCATTGGGACATCGCAGCGGGTGGAGAGTGATGCTACTCCACGTTGGGTGGAGACTCCAGATCATACTGTATCATTTGGGATTCCAGCTGAGGTGACACAGATTGGGGATCATTTGGACTTGGATGCAGATGATGAGTTGGATTCGATTACAGCTGATGGACTTAATTTAGATACGGTCATTGGTTCACCTCAGATGGAGGTGTTTGATTTGTCTCAATTTGGAGCTATTGGGAGTGCTATCAGTTGCAGATTGCTTGGTGATATTGAAGAAGAGTTGCAGACTTTTCTATTTGTTTGAGGGCCTTTGGAGGCCATTTGGGTGAACTACGTTCGGCTTGATTCCTTGGGCAAGAGGATACGTAGGCAGTCTTTATGATGCAGCCGGGTTTGGATTAGTTGATGGGGGTGAGATCGATTTGGTGAGCGACATCGACATTTGGGGTGAGTGTTCACACTCCCGTTTGGGTCTCGACCTGTTGTGGATGGAGTCCGTTGTTATGAGTCCGTTGCCATGGCGTACTGGATACAACAAGTGAGGCATTTGTTTTGGTTGGTGTCAGCTCAGTTTTGGGAAAACTTCACCGAGGTGGAGAATTGTGAACACGTGAAGTTAGTGGGGACCACGAAATTTGATCAGTGGCTTGCCCAGCGCGTGGAGAAGTAAAACCCAGCGAACAAAAGGCCGGCCCACCCGATTTCGGTTTTTTAGAGACCTATAAATGTGCCTAGGGTTTTGTGAAGTTTTTTTTTAAGTGTGCAAGTGCTTTTGTGCGGCTGCAGAAGAGGGCTTGTGCAATTGAGGGGTGTCTTGGAGGCGTGTGTAAGGTGAGTGCAGGAGATTTTGAGTGATTGTAAACCCTAGTTGTATCTCTCCCTCTAATAGTAAATCTTCCCCTCCTTGCCCCGTGGACGTAGGCTATTTGCCGAACCACGTAAAAAGTTGTGTTCTTGTCGTGATTTGTAATAGCTTGTAGGATCCCTCGACAGGTCAGTCCTAGAACTGATGAGAGGAAGAGCCGATATCTCACTTGGTTGAGATATCCGCTTCAGATTCTTGTTTCCTTGGTGAGACGGGAATTCTTATCGATCTAATCTCTCTTGTTGTGCTGCCGAAGTGCTGCCGAAATTTTCGCTGCGCACAACAGTCATTGAAGCTAAATCTTAGCTCTGGATTTAATTAATAAATCAGTATTTTCCTTCCGAGAAATTTGGACGTAAATTTCAATCATGAATTTGAATGAAGATAGTAATAATTTTTCCCCCCTCGTGGAAAGAATACTTTCCAGTCCTGCTCACTATTTTAAATGATTACTCTGCTTTCAAGTAGTCAGTATTTTAAACCTAGTAGAGCTAAAAATGCCATGAAATAACTAGTATTTTTCACGTCATGTTGCTAAATAGTAGAACATGCATGTCTTCTACTTCATTATTATTTTTAAAATTTTATTAATATGAGCATTTCTTTTGGTCGTATTGCTTTTGAAAGTATACACTTTGGGCAAGTATACACTTTGGGCTACTCCTTAAATCTCTTCTCTCATCTTGTTGTCTAATGATTACTATTCTGTCAGGTATTTCCTTAATCACAGCAAGATATGCATCGGAACCTGTTTCTTTCACAAAATATACTTCACGATATCCTTTTGGGTACTATTATCTTATGAGGCCACTTTTCTTGTTTGTGAAGCTTTCTGTCAAAATGTTGTGCTATGTATCATTTTTCACAATATAACCTTCCAAGTAGAACAAGAAAATTAATCCCGAATATTTTGATTATTTGGTTTCTTAGCCTTGCACTTATAACATTCATTTGAAGTTCCAGTCAGGTACGCTAACCCTCATACCACTTAGCCCAAAATACATAGTTCAAGAAGTTGACGAAGTTCAGCACCGCAAGCAAACCATAAAACAGCTCCAACCGACCATCATTCAAACTCTTCCCGCCAAGCCACTCTTCAGAACCGAACCTTGAACTCAGATCCTCAACAATCTCCACGAGCACCGAGCTCAAGAAATACCCCATGGACGTCGAGCACCAAGACAGCGACGTGCACATGCTCCTCATAGTGTCTGGCGCCTCAGAGTAGAAGAACTCGAGCATGCCAGCCAAAGTAAACATGTCAGAGACACCAAGAAGCAAATATTGCCATCCGAGCCAGAACACGCTTAATTGCGTACCGTTCACAGATGCATTTCTTCGTTTGATTTCAACGAGTGAAGCGACAGTCATCGATGCTGATGCCAGGATTAGACCGATGCCTATCCTCTTTAGTGGTTTTAGGACGAAGTTTATTTTAGTGAGTTTTTTTGTGGTTAGAGAGGAAAGCAAGTCGTAGAGGGGGACGGAGAGGAGCATGACCATGAGAGGGATTGAGGTTAGAGATGCTGGAGGGATGTGGAAGCCCTTGGCGAGCTTGGTGTTCATGGCTTTGCCTTGTTGGACTGAAAAGGTCTGGAGTTGAGCGAGGCAGCAGCTCATGAGGATTGTGCTTGCGAAGATTGGGAGGAGGGAGAAGAAGGATTTCGCCTCGTCGACTTGTGCAGGGGTGACATGGTCATCAGTGGTCGCCTTCTCCAGGAATCTGTAAGCAAATAGATGTGTAAATCACTAATGCAAGTTTGAATTTGTAATATAATATTTGTTTATGGATCATATATTTGAAAACACAGGTTTATTGAGCATATTGGAGTTAGGCTTTGCAAGTTCTCTTGTTAAAGAACTTGTAGCCAGTTGTCATGTGCATTTATAGGCAATTTATTTAAAATTTGTGCCAGTATTGGTCATGACAAGCTTTTTTCCTCATGAAAGCCATATTAGAAATTGGTTCGATTGTGGATAGACCCCTTGTTCTATCGCCTAATTGCAGATTGGCTCCCTGTAGCTCTATTGTATAGACCCATGAGTGAATTTTTTCTAACTATTTTAACCTCAGGAGGTCTATTTGTTAAAAAAAACAATTTTTTCCTCTCTAAGGGCAAAAGTGTCAAAAAGTTTTCAATCCGGGTCTATTTGCAACAAGTAGAACTACAAGGGCTCATTCCACAATTAGGCAATTGTAAAGGGGTTTATATGCAATCAAATATTTCTTTCCTTTTGCTGGCACGAAGGTTTTACTCTATATCATCTTATATAATAACTTGGAGCACAAATTCTCCGTCATAGTAAATTTCTAGAACATGAACATGTTTGCATTTTGGAAGAAATAGAATATACCCAAGCTTTCTGACAACCCTAAAATTAGAAAGAAGTCGCATATTACTGAAACATGCCTGAATTTAGAATGATATTTTCTGGCAGGCCCTTCTGTATTTGTAGCTTGCACCTTAACATTCCAGTTACGAGCACTGTACACAAGAACCTACAATTGAGAAACATAAACAAGTAAGAACAATAACATTATCAATTGATTGTACATATGAACTTCATAAAACTATACACAATGGAGAAACTTTACCTTAAAAATACTTGTTAGAGGACTCCCACTGGGAACTTTATGCCTGTAGTAAGTAAACCCTGAAGCAAAAACGACTAAAGAAATAGCCAAAGCACCGGTAGAGAAAGCTAAGCCCCAAACCCATCCTTTGTTCTCCTGAATCCAAACCAAGAAAGTAACACCCAACATCCCTCCACTGCAGAGGCAAAAGAAGAACCAGTTGAAGTAGCTAGAAATGAGGTTCTTCTTCGATGAGTCGAACTGGTCAGCTCCATGAGCCGGTAAATTTGCTATAATTCCTCCAACTCCAAAGGCCATGGCATAAAGTCCAATGTGTAACATTGCTTCTTGTGATTTTGATGGGGTTTGAGTGGTGGATATTGGTCGAAGTGATGGAGTGCGTGCTTGAATGGTTACGATGATTAGACCCTGTAATGTATTTCATGTGTCAGTATAATCCCATATTAGTTAAGAAAGAGAAATAGGCCTAAACAGAAAGCTGAGGAAATAATATTCTGAATAGCTTAAGCTTTTGTGAGGAACAAGATGTATTTTCACCTGTTTTGTTCATGCCCTTGCATGTGACGTGTGACGCATTGGACTTGGTGACACATTGGACTTGGTGGTCAAAATAACTAAGGGTTATGTTAAAGTAAGAGAGAGAGAGAGTTTTGGGTAAATTTCTCTTGAATTGAATAATGAGTGTGTACATATATATACAAGTAGAGGAGGGTGAGGTTTGCCCCCATAACCAATGTAGGACTAAACCCACTACTAACACAATATTATCAACAGTCCTCCTCAAACTCATATTAGATCAAACAAAATGAGTTTGCATACAAGAAACTGAAATCGATGAACGCGTAAGGCCTTTGTGAAGAAATCTGCAAGCTTATCAGCAGACGAGACATGAGGAAGTAGAATTGTCGTCTTTAATAACTTGTTGACGGACAAAATGAGCGTCGATCTTAATATGTTTGGTCCTCTCATAAAATACTGGATTATTAGCAATCTGGATGGCACTCTTATTATCACATTAGAGAGGAGTAGAAGTCATAACAAAAATACCAAAATCACTGAGAAGACGACAAAGATGAATTCATTTTTTAGATATTGTGGACATTGCACGATATTCTGCCTCGGTACTGGAAAGAGCAATAACATATTGTTTCTTACTCCGTCAGGAAATAAGAGAATAACAAAGAAATATACAATAACTTGTAGTAGATTTCTTGGTAGTGGGATCACCAGCCTAATCAGCATTATAATATGCACAAAGCTCTAACTTGGATGTAGCAGGAAATAGAAGAGGGCGAGTGCTAGTACCTCGTAGATACCGAAGAATCCGTATTAAGGTAATATAGTGTGCAGAACGTGGGGCACTAATAAATTGACTGACAATGCCAACAGCATAAGGGATATCTGGTCGAGAAATATACAGATAGACCAACTGGCCAATAAGATGTCGGTATCAGGTATGATTAGATAAAGGCTTACCATCAGTAGAATGAAGTTTGACATTCTGTTAGAGTGGAGTATCCACAGTTGTATCGTCAGTTAGCTCAGCAAGATCTAGAATATCTGAGAGATACTTCTGTTGAGACAGTAGTACACCCCGTGGGCCCTAAGAAATTTCTAGACCAAGAAAATGGCGAAGAGATCCAAGATCCTTTATGTGAAACAGTTGTTGTAATTGAGATTTTGCAAACTGTATACTACCAGCATCATCACCTGTAATGATCATATCATCTACATAAAGGAGTAATAAAACTCTACCACACGATGTAGTGCGAACAAATAGAGAAGCATCTTGATAACTCTCCATAAAGCCTGCCTTGAGCACAACATCGCGAAAACACTCAAACCAAGCACGGGGTGCCCACTTGAGACCATAAACAACACGACGAAGGAGACATACGTGTCCAGGAGGAATATTGGACCCTGGAGGCAGTTGCATATATACTGTCTCAGATAAAGAGCCATGGAGAAAAGCATTTTGAAATCCATCTGGTATAAGAGCCAATGATGAGCAGCAACAACTACAAGTAGAGTACGAACGGTGGACATCTAAGCAACAGGAGTAAATGTCTCCCCATAATTAATACCTTATTGCTGAGTAAAACCTTGAGCCACTAATTGAGCTTTCTGACGTTCAATGGTGCTATCAGGACGATACTTGACCTTATAAATCTATTTACTACCAACAAGAGAGATCCCAGGGGGACAGGGAACAACATCCCAGGTATGTGTTTGCTTAAAGACATAGAATTCCTCAGTCATAGCTTGTTGTCACTCTAAAAATTGAACTGCCTCTTGAAAGGACTTTGACTCAACGGTAGTATGAATGACAACAAGAAAGTTATGAAGGATAGGTGAATAGGAAGTAATCGAAGCATACCGGGTAGACATGACATGTGGGTGTTTGCCTCGATGAAGAGCAAGAGGAACCTCAGGTGGGGGAGATGTTGGCGCATGTGCGTGGAGATCAACAGTATTTTCTAAAGTGAGTGTCACGTCCACGGGATATAAATCATGTGGTGTAAGAGAAGGGTCGAGGAAGAGTCAACAAAAGGAGATGGAGAGATGTCAGGGAGATCTCGAAAGGAAAACTAAGGTGAAGAAGTGAGTGATGCAGCTGATAGGGAAGCATGATCAGTGGAGTGGAGGAAATTGAAGTCATCAGAAGCAGAATAATATGGAGAATCCTCTTCAAACTGTACGTGATGAGATATATGAACTCGACGAGTTGCGGGATCATAACAATGATAACCTCGATGTTCCAAACTAATTCCTAAATAGACACAAAAAACAATTCTAGGAGACAACTTATCACGTTCGTGAGATGGCAGAAGAATAAAACAACGACAATAAAAAAACGCAGATCATATCATAACAGGGAGGATGAGTATAAACACGGCTATAAGGAGTAGCACCAGAAATAGAGCTAGATGGAGTGATATTAGTAGCATGAGTAGTAGTGAGAATAGCCTCAGCCCACAAACAACGAGGAACAGAGTAAGAAATGAGCATAGATCGAGCGGTATTGAGGATATGACGATGTTTGCATTTAGTAATACCATTTTGCTCATGAGTGTAGGGATATGACTGCTGAAAGATAGTTCCATGAGAGGATATGATAGGGCGCATGGTAGAGGATATGTACTCTTTGGCACAGTCAGAACGGAAAACTTTAATACGAGATTGCCATTGAGTGAATATCATAACAGTGAAGACTTGATAAGCAGTAAGTACGTCAGAGCGATTATTAAATAGGTAAACCCATGTAAAACGAGAGAAATCGTCGATAAAACTAACATAATATAAGTAGCCAGATAAAGACGGCAAATGAGCTAGCCCCCAAATATCAGAATATACTAAATCAAATAAGGAAGATGATACAGATGTACTCATTTTTAATGGTAAAATAGTGAATTTATCTAATTTATAACTAGTACATGACTCAATACTATAACTAGATGATATAGAACCAAGTACTCCAGACTAAATAATGCTCTCCAGCCTTTTATTAGACATATGACCAAGTCGTCTATGCCACAAATTAGCAGGAAATGAGGTAGATGGTTGTGACAAACAAACAGAAGCAACAAGAGAACATGGACGTATGTGCTAAGAGAATGAACCCTCCTAGACTTGATGCTATGATTTTGAATACATAGCCTTTTATTAGACATATGAACCCTCCTAGCCTACGATGTTGAATACGTAGGCTTTGCCACTGTTTCTTCCTGTGTTATATTTTCACTTGAAACACTGGAAAAAAAATTAGAAGTGCCAGAGGTGTAGTATTAACTTGGCGTGAATTTTCACTTAGAGTGAAATTTAGAAACTTTCTTTATTATCACTGGGATAATTTCAGAAAATCTCTAATCCACTGGGGATTTTATAATAAAAACTTGCTATTCTTGTTAAAAAAGGATTAACAAGTTTATTGGGGGGGGGGTTGACTGTTAGAAGTATGATGTTAACCTAACAGTATTTTTATGGACCTATCGCTCCGTTGACGAGAATCGATAAGTGGAAAGTGTTACGATCGGAGCAACTTTGAGGACTTATCATCCTATTAATGAGGATTGATAAGTGGATTTTGTCAGAGGTTTAGTGTTAACGTGACAGGATTTGTGTTGCGATTGGAGCAACTTTGTGGACTTATCATCCTATTGATGAGGATTGATAAGTGGATTTTGTCAGAGGTTTAGTGTTAACGTGACGGGAATGTGTTGCGATTGGAGCAACTTTGTGGACTTATCATCCTATTGACGATGATTGATAAGTGGATTGTCAGAGGTGTTTGATATTAACGTGACAAGAGAATATTGCGATCGGAGCAACTTTGTGGACTTATCATCCTATTGATGAGGATTGATAAGTTGATTTGTCAGAGGTTTAGTGTTAACGTGACAGGATTTGTGTTGCGATCGGAGCAACTTTGTGGACTTATCCAGGATTTGTGTTGCGATCGGAGCAACTTTGTGGACTTATCATCCTATTGAAGAGGATTGATAAGTGGGTGTTTGTGGGAAATTTGTAATAAGAAAAATGAATGAAAGAAATGTATTTGATTTTATTCTCTCTAACTGCTTAGAAAAAGAATGTTTACAAATCTCTCAACTCTCGATTACAATTGGATTTCCGATTACAAAAGAGAAGAGAATGATCTGGATTCTCTCCTTTGTTTAATTCTGGGTTCTTCTTGGTAGCGATGAGATGCCTCCCTCGAATGCTTGCGTCGAGTTTGCTTCTCGTTGACGATCCGAATATCTATGCTCACTGGAACAACAGTCTTGTCTGGTTGATAACTCTTGATGAGTTTCGTGATTCAGAATAAACTCTAGTAATAGAGTTGTTCAAATCGAAAATAATTCGGTTAATAAGCCAAATATCAACGGTTTAGAGCTTCTCCGTTTGTTGATTTCCCATACTGTGTAAGGAGTCAATCCTCCTTTTCTGATTCTAGGAAATCTGATCGAAAGATCCTCTCCAAGTAATCAAAATCCAATCTCTAAAAATCCGTCCCTCGATCTGATTATCAAAAATCCGATCTAAGCAATCCAAAAAGAGCTCCCTTAACTCTGTTGAGTTTGTTGATATTTATAGGGGGATTAGGGGTGTAACTGCCCCTATAATCCGCTCCTAAATGGGGGTTTAGTTACCCCATTAATCGGGTGTAACAACCCACGTAAACCACTCCCTATATCGTGGGTAGAGAACAGCTTCAAAGTTGTTACGATCACGTTTGAATGAGTCAGAACCTTGACTTGCGTTCTGGCGGTGATTGGAAAGAGCTGCTGTGACGAGCTGCGTCGTGCAGTGATAGAGCTGCGTTGGCAGCGATTGGTGAGCTGCGTTGTGCAGCGATAGAGCTGCGTTGGCAGCGATTGAGCAGCGATGATGAGCTGCGTTGGGCAGCGATGATGAGCTGCGTTTGAGCTGTGATTGGCAGCGATTGGAGCTGCGTTTGAGAGCCGCTGAAGCCGCGTTCGAGCTATGATTGGCAGCGATTGGAGCTGCGTTTGAGCTGTGATTGGTAGCGATTGGAGCTGCGTTTGAGAGCCGTTGAAGCCGCGTTCGAGCTATGATTGGCAGCGATTGGAGCTGCGTTTGAGCTTCTCTGTCTTTATATATGGATGACACCAATGACCAGTAGAGAAGGTCTTATTCAGGCCATTTGTAACAATTGAGGTATCTTAATAACGCTCTATCAACTGCATGTCACGATCTCCACTAAGATTTCTTTGCATGGTTTAACCATGTGCTCTTCAGTGTGTCGAATATCATTACACTGCTCATCAGCACCTCTGATAGTTGCTAATATAATATTAGTCATGTTGTTGTCGCAGCCATCAAGATCAATTATCTCACATAAGAAGCTGCATTTGTGTTTGTCACGGTAGGTGATTGAATTGGTGTTGTGTCTTGATGATGGTACGCAGGGAGGACTTCCACGTCTTGGTTTGAAGAGATCGTCGATTTGTAATCTCTTTCTGTCAGAGCATTGCTAAAGATCGTCGTTTTGTAATCTTTGCTTTAGCTCTTTGATATGTGAAAGTCTTCAAATTGTAGCCTTCTGGGAGTCGTCTGAAGAGATCGTCAATTTGTAATCTCTTTCTGTCGGAGTGTTGCTAAAGATAGCCTTCTGGAAGTCGTCAGATTGGAACTTCCATCATCGGTGTTTGATGGGGAATCAGCTATCTTTTTTAGACAGCCTACAGTGGGTTGTCAGAGGTGTTTGATATTAATGTGACAAGAGAATGTTACGATCGGAGCAACTTTGTGGACTTATCATCCTATTGATGAGGATTGATAAGTTGATTTGTCAGAGGTATTTGATATTAACGTGACAAGAGAATATGTTGCGATCGGAGCAACTTTGTGAACTTATCATCCTGTTGAAGAGGATTGATAAGTAAATTTGTCAGAGGTATAGTGTTAACGTGACAGGATTTGTATACTTGTGATTTGAACAAGATTTTGGGGTCTAGCGTCTCGCTGGGGAGAATTGCTAAGTGAGTTTATCATCAGAAGCGATGAATTTTGATACTAAGATTTTGAAGACTTAGTGTCTTGCTGAGGAAGATTGCGATTTGAGTATTTTTGAGGACCTATCATCCTATTAAAGAGGATTGATAAGTTGATTGTCAGAGGTGTATTGTTAACGTGACAAATCGGGAGTGATGCAAACTGAATTCATACTCCGTGAGGGTGATAATCGTCGGAAGTATAATGTTAACTCGACGATGTGAAAGATTCGTTACTCTTAATCCAGTGAATTCTAAGTAACCAACCACCAGTCTTGATTAAGACTTAGCAGGAGAATAAAAAGAGATAGACAAGGCACATCACCTAGTGGGGCACTATCCATGAAGTCGGAATAGAGGCACATCACCTGGTAGGCCATTATCTGATGAGTTTGACTATCAGAGGTAACTGTTAACGTGATAGTTTTGTGGACCCGTCACCCTACTTGAAGAGGATTAACAGAAGAATTTGGAGGAAACGAACTATCAGAGGTAACTGTTAACGTGATAGTTTTGGTGGACCCGCCATCC